TCAAAATGCATATTTGACAGTGAGTTGACAGTAAATCTGCATCCTAACTCAAGCTAATAGTAAGCTAATGTTAAGTTTATGTAATAAATGTAATATTATTAAATATAATAATATTCTGACTGAGTGGTATTAAAATGAACCATTGGTCACCCAGTCTCATGCATTTAGATGATGATAACCACAGATAAAACCAGGCATAGCCTATAACTTAGCACCTCACTGTCATGGCGAAATGTAACTTAATGGTTTCTGTGTGGTATTTGTATGAAAACAGTGGCCTAACAGTTAAATACATTATTAAGTGCTGTACTTATATTCCATAAGACATTTAATGAATTGTCTACATGAATGATATTATACAATGAAACGTGTACATCCCACGTTTCATGGTGCAGTTAATATTACTCGGCTAACCTTACAGTAAATCCGTGGTGCGCTAAATGGATTCAGCGTCAATACAGATTCTGACTGGATCGTTGCACGCGGTGTTGCTCCTTTTTGTCAGCTGTGTTTCATCTGCCCTTAAACTGGTTCAGACTTGACATCTGTGTTCTTCGCTGAACTCGAGCGTTTCTCGCTGAATGTCTCGAGCGAGACGATCGAAGCAATCGCGTGTGCTCCGGCGAGCTCGCGCTGCGCTCACTGCCGTTTGGACTTTGAGCCGAGCGGATAAGTGGTCCGTGTGGCGCGCGCGGTTCAAAAGAGTTTCGTTCCGCTTTTGGCGCGTAAACATTATCGGACATTTATCGACGTCTTGATATCGTTCTATCGAGAAAAATCATATCGCGATAATTATCGTTGTCGTTTTATCGCCCAGCCCTACCGTGGGGCGACCTTCAACTGAAAGCTATGGTTGACAGTGGCTCCGTGGCGTGCACTTTCAGAGTGAAGCTGCTGAAAGTCTCTTGTTGCAACACAAGCCAAATCTACAAAAGTTTCCTGCTGGCGACGTTGTCATAATTGGTTGTGGCGGACAGCGCGTTACCCCAAAAGTGACGTGCGAGCTTGAACTCTCAGTTTTTTACGCATGCAAGATGGTCGTTCCAGCCTTAGCGGTTCCAGGCCAAACCGACGATTTGATTCTGGGCGGCAACGCCATCAAGTGGCTAATTCAAAAAATGAAAGAGACGGACGGATACTGGAGACTAGTGTCCAGCCCAGTTAACTCGGAAGATGTTGAATGTCACCAGTTCCCATCTCCGCTTTCTAACGTGGAACGATGGAAGGGTGAAGACATGCCTGATAAAGTGGGCACAGCCAAGTTGAAAGAGACAATAGTTCTGGAACCACACCGTGAACACCTTGCCTGGGTCCAAGGAACGCGATTATAGGAAGAGTCGTCACACCTATGCGGGGCAGTGGATGGGTGCCTTTCGAGATAACGAACCCCACAGACAAAAGTCATCGTCATTAAGAAAAACAAAAAGATTGTGGACGTTTTTTTACCTGTATCGCCGCGGAGGAGTTGCCTACAGCCGAGTCTTTGAAGCGCAACGTTCAGTGTGCTGCAAGTTCTACGAGTCATGTGCGGACCAGTGATGAGAGAAGGAACCCGCTGGATGAATCAGGACTACGGGATCTGAATCTGGACGCTTGCGAAGTGTCAGGGGAATGGAAGGATAGGCTTCCGAATCTCACCGAGAAGTACGAGTCGACCTTTTCGCGTGGAAAAATCGAGAAGCCCTTTCGACTCCCTCATCGACGTGTAGCCCCCAGTCACTGTGATGAGCTGCGCGCTGCCTTGAGTGAGATGGAGGTTCAGGGCATTATAAGGAAGTCTCAGAGTGAACATGCATCTCCGCTAGTATCAGTATGGAAAAAGAACGGTGACCTTCGTATCTGTACTGATTTCAGATGGCTGAATGCAAAGACCGCGAAGGACGCTCACCCACTCCCACGCCAAGCGGACGCACTCGCAGCTTTAGGGGGTAACGTTTTCTTTTCGACGATGGACTTGACTTCTGGCTTTTATAATGTTCCCTTGTTCGAAGAGCGTAAGAAGTACACCGCTTTCTCCTCCCCTCCGTTCGGCCTTCACGAGTGCAATCGTCCACCTCGGGGTTTGACCAATAGTCCGGCCACCTTTATGAGGATGATGATGATGATGTCCATTTTCGGGGATGAGAATTTCACAAGTCTTCTCTGCTACTTGGACGATCTGATGGTTTTTGCTCCAAGTGAACAAACAGCTCTTGACCGGTTGGAACTGGTCTCCTCACGCCTGTCCTCGGACTGACCCAGAAAAGGTCAAGGTGATTAGCGACATCCAGACTACTGACCTCATGGAAGCGGATGGCGTAACCCCTTCTCAGAAGAAGATTCGTTCTTTCCCGGGCATGACCTTGTATCAGCAGCGTTTCGTTATCGACTGTTCTGCTAAGGCAAAACCTCTTTTCAAACTTCCATCGGATCGTTCAGAGGAAAGAACTCGGAGGAAGTGTAGCCGTGCGGAGAAGCCGCTCGGCGCCGTGAAACTCTCACCCGTGGATTGGACTAGTGAGCGTCGAACTGCTTTTGAGTCTTTGAAGCGGGACTTGTTGCACAGTGTGACTCTGGCACACCCGGATTTCGGTCACGACTTTATTCTCTCTGTTGACGCTTCATTTGATGGGATAGGAGCTGTGTTATCTCAGGTGCCGCCCGGAGAGAAGGTCGCACGTCCGGTTGCTTTCGCCGGCAAAACACTCTCCAAGTCTCGGATGAACTACCCAGCACGTAGACTCGAATTTCTGGCTTTAAAGTGGGCTATTTGCGACAAGTTTAGCCACTGGTTGAAAGGGAGACATTTCACTGCGTGGTCTGATGATAACCCACCCACCCGACGTATATTCTTACCAAACCCAGATTGGACGCGTGTGAACAGCGACGGGTGGCGAAGCTTGCCGCGTTCGACTTTGACCCGAAGTATGTGCCAGGCACAAAGAACATTGTTGCAGATGAACCCTTTGTCAAGTCTCGCGTTGGCCGTCGTCTGTTGAGAGAACCATGCGTGTCTCTCTTGGATGAGGTAAATGGAGTCGTTACAGGAACCGTGCAAGATGCCTTTCGTGTCACCAACAACCGTCGGAATGTCGAAGCTACCGGTAATGGAACTGAGAACGAGCTAGAGGATGACGCGAATGACTCGTGTCCCGGATCTGTTGATGCCGCTGAAGTTTCCGCTGTTCTAGGCGCTCACTGCGACGGTGGAGTCAGTCCGTTGCCCGTGACGAGTCCGACGTCACTCCAGCTTCCTGACGAAGACGCGTCTGTTGCGATCCCGTTCTCGAGACTCTCAAACCTCCAAGAGTTGGACAACGTGGTCGGTAGAGTCCTCCACTATGTTGGGAGACGTAAACGTCCTTCAAAGAGTGAGAAAGTAAAGGAACCTAGCTCTGTGACGGCCCTTTTGAAGCAGTGGAAAAAGCTGAAGGTTCGTAATCACGTACCGTGCGGAGTCAAGAGAGGGATCGACTGATGAACAAGAAAATCTTTCAGTATGTTGTACCAGATTCCCCGAAGCGTGACGTCCTCCGTGGTGTCCGCGATGCAGCTGGACATCGGGGTGGTGCAAGAACTCTCTCTCTCTCTCTAGCAGCTGAAAGGTTCTTTTGGCCAGGAACGAGTGAAGACATCGAGCTCTGTGTGAAGAACTGCCAGAGGTGTGTCGTTGGAAAAACCCCTGAGCCAGATGCTCGTGCGCCCCTTGAGCATGTTCGCCGAACCTCTGAACCTATGGAACTAGTATGCATCGACTTCAGGGAAGGTTGTCGATGTCCTAGTAGTGACGGATCATTTTTCTGAAATGGCACGTGCCTTTCCTCGTCGCAGTCAATCAGCCAAACAAGTTGCACATCGCCTTTGGAATGACCTCTTCTGCGTCTATGGATTTCCAAAGAGAATACATTCAGATCAAGGAGCAAACTTTGAAAGTAAGATCATTAAGAATTTGCTTGAGATGGCTGGTGTTCAGAAGTCGCACACCACACCGCACCACCCTACGGGCAATGGTGTAGCAGAACGGTAAGGCGAGGTGGCCACAGCTTCTAGGAACTTTAACCTTCAGTTACAACTGTACTGTGCATGAAACCACTGGGTTCGCCCCTTTCTAGCTCACGTTTGGGCGTATTCCGAGATTGCCGATCGACACCATGTTTCAGCATGTCCTTTGTGATGAGAAAGTGGTCAGTCACCATGAGTTTGTCACTGCACTGAAAAGAGATCTGAGCGCAGCTGGTGAAATGGCCCGGAGACACAGTCCCAAAGAGCAGAACCGTCGTGCCGTTCTTTGCGATCGGAAAGTCGGAGGTTCGTCCTTGCAGGTGGGAGATAGAGTTTTGCTGGCCAACCGTGGAGAGAAAGGCAAGAGGAAAGTCTCGGACGAGTGGGACTCTGTTTTGTATGAGGTTCAATCAGTGAGACCTGAGATTAATGTGTACAGGATTAAGGATGTTCAGAGTGGCAAAGAAAAAGTGGCGCGCACAGAAATCTATTGCTGCCAGTTAATTTCTTATCATGGGATGACGGCGAAGAATCGGTTTGTTTCCATCAAAAGATATTTGAAGAGCAGAGATACATTTGTAATTGCTAGGAGCGTGTTAAGTGTGGAACCTGAGATAAAGATGGAAGAGATAAATTCTGACTTACTGTATTGTAAAGCTCTTTTACTCACTTTTTTTTTTGTGCAATCTCTACTGTATATTTAGTTTGTTACATATGCTGGTTCTAGCCCAATTTAACAAGAATTTAGGGGGGGGGGGGTGTATGTAACGGAGTTTAAAAGAATGTTTATAAATTCATGCATAAATTGGAAAAACTCGACATTGGCCGTTACGTCTCTTGCATCAGCGGAGCTACGTCACCAGCAGCAGCAGACTCTCATATCTCGTGCTGCCGGTAAGTCGCATTTATAAGCGCTGTGTCATAAAAATGAGTTTATGTAGTCCTCAAGTGCAATGGATGGATTTTATATTACACACAAGTACACATTAAACTGTTAGTCACCGTTTTTGTCAGTCGAGTTGAATATCTGTGATTCGCAATGATAAAATGACGTGTGTGTGTGTGTGTGTGTGTGTGTATGGTAATCCTCTGACGAACTCTATTTGTAGTGTTTTGTGTTTCCATGGTAACTGTTCCAGCAAACTTTTTGTTTAATTATTAAGTTGTTAAATTCAATTTAAAACAATTACGTGCACTACAAGTATAATCTTTGTTTTGTTCTACAATACAAGAAAACTCTGTATTTTTGTTTAAAATTAATATTTCGAGTTTGGCAAGTGAGTGACGTCATTGGTAACGGACTGGTCGCGCGCGGCGCGCCTGCTCTCTCAGAACAGCCTGTGACTAGAGAGAGCGAGCGAGGTACGTCTCTGCTGTGCTCCTTATTTAAGAGCGAAAATATGCTGTATTACGTGAAGTCTTACCTTGATATCTATTATAGAAGTGTCATAAAACGGGAACAAGTTTATATCAGGGGTTTTCTGTCCACGGTTTAATGTATTTTTGTAGTATTACAAACGCACGTGTTTGTGTAATGTTTCCGCCTGCGCGTCATATTAGATTGCAGGTTTTCCAGTGTTAATAATTTTCTTCACAATTAATTTCGGTGGATTGAGTTTGTAGATATGTTGTTTAGTATGTTAAATGTGTGTAGCTTTCTTCTGGATGTTAAAATTTATGTTTATAGCCTTATGCGTTACTAGGAAATGATATGAATTGCAGTTAGAGGGGACAGTGTTTAACATGTCTTTTCTCATACATCCTTCAGCTGAGAGAGAGTAAACCCTGAAGGAGTGTGTTGATTTTCTGTCCTCTTTCAATAAAGTGCAGGTATGTGAAATTGTTTTGAATAAGGAAAAAAAAAAAAAACCCACTACACGATCTAAGAAATTGAGACATATTGGCTATAATATTAACGTAAAAATGTGTAACTCATTTTATTTTATTAGTTTAATATGTTTTGTGTGAAAGTGAATTTTCATAAATGAGAGACAAAATTGTTGTAATACAAAACTTTATTGTATAAAATGATCTGAGAACAGCCTGTGACTAGAGAGAGCGAGCTGAGAGAGAGTGTGTCTCGCGTAGCCAGACCTTCAGACTGACGGCTGAAGGTCTACGAGGCTGACTCCAGCTCCTTTTTCGCCAGCTCCTTATTCGCCGAACTATTCGTTCCACCTTAAAAATGTTGGATGGTTGTTAACCCCTCCCCCTCGGTTCTTTTGCCCGGAACAGTTGTATGGGGATTATGAGCCTGTTGATCGGAGAAGGGTCTGGCTGCAGACTGTGGGCGAGTGGAGCTCCACTCTCTAACCGGAAATACGTCACCTCCACATCGCGGGGGGCGGAGGCGGGGGCGGGGCCGAGTAAATTCGCGGGATTTTACATTCCATACTTCGCTGTGGGGAGACATCAGCGATTTTCTCCCCTTCTATTCAGGTAGCTATCAATTCTAATGATTTTTATAAATATAATGTTTGTACAGTGTGCAGATGTGAGTATTATATTGATTGCTTGTTAATTTATATGTTTGACATTTTTTTAGTTTTTCTCGATTGTTTACACACATTTTCTGAAAGAATGCCTCATATTCTCAGAACTCTACACACAAATCTAAAAACACTCACACAATTGGCAAAACCCCTCAATTCTCCTGCAAAATGAAACTTTACATTCAAAACAATGTTATTTCTTCTCAAAATGTTATTTTGTTTTCAAATGACACACACAAACCATCATATGAATAGACATTTATAAGAACCAGTTGAACACTGATGTGCTCAATGTAAAACACTATGATGAATGGAAAACACTTCTTCATTCATCATAATGAATTGGGCCTTTTTTGTTCAGTGTTACACTTACTACAGACATTACATACATAAGTGTGTTGTAAAATATTTGAGAATATTGTTTTTTATACCCAGAACACACAAATACACGGTAACAAATATATTTTATTTTTCCCACAAAATCAATGGGAGATAGATCCCACATTTTGTACACCCCAACCAACACAAAGTTGCACATACAGTGGTCTACATACAAAACAACAGAATTTTCATGCTGTTACTGTAATAAAAGAAATATAAAATATCTATGCTGCATCCTCTCTTTGGTTTTGGTATTTTATGCTAAAGCTCTGATTGCTAATTGTAAAACTGTGTGACGTGTGTTTGTCCATGTGACGAGTCAGTGTGAATATTTGAATGGCAGTGTGTTCCTCATGAAAACAAGAGATTTTCTGCATGAAAATTGTGCCAAATGCAGAGAATTTGTGTGTAGTGTTTTGAAAAACATGTGTTTTAGAGCTGCAATTTGAGTGTAAAGCAGGAATTGTGCTTGTAGTTCAGCAGAATTGGTTCAGGGGATTGGTGATGAATGAGTTACGTGTTGTGGTCATTGTGTCTCAAGTACCAGAAAATGTGTGTAAACAATCGAGAAAAACTGTAAGAGATGCACAAATGCAAATCTCCATTTTGAGCATTATTATTGGTGTGGCATGTATGTTTGTATTGATTGTTTAATTCTGTTTAGTGGTGATTGTTTGATTGTATTGAAAAGTGTAAATGTGAAGATAATTTAACGTTATGCAATTTCAGTTAAAACAATTATCTTACTCTGTACGGTATATTACATGGTTACTTTACAAATTTGAGAACCTTTTTTAAAGGTACCTACGATCCCAGCTAAGATGTCAAGGGTTTCACATGATGGGGCTGTGGCCACTGACATTTTGCTGGTATGTGTTCATATTCACTTTAATGTTGATAAAATGGCTTGCAATGACTCTATATTAAATCTTGTTTCATATCTACAGTTGCCCGATGACATTCTCCAGAAGATCCTTGTCTTTGTAGTTCTACAAGACGGCTGCTCTGCAATCCTGAGGCTGGCTCTGACATGCCAGAGATTTAACAACATTGTCAGCCAGGAGCATTTTCAGCAGGCACACTTCAGCTGGCTTGATAGTGAGTTCAATAAGTATAGTTACCCCATCGTGTTTTTTTTTATTTTTGTGGGTATAACAATTAGGCTAGATTAATATCACCCTCTTCCATTTCCCTAACATGAAACTTTTGGCAGTTAACCCATTTAATCCCACTGGTCACAATAGTGACTGTAAAAAATATGTTTCATTTCTAAGGCTATAAAAATGTTACTGAATAATTTATCAATGCATTTCCAGCAGATATTGAAATAATACATTGTATCTATATGCTAATACAAAAAGACTAACTCTTACCTTACTTTCTGCTGCTACCTAACTTACTATACAGACATACACAGAAACACACAAACTCGCACATCACACACACACACACCACGCATGGCACACACACCCCACGCCAGACACTCCATGCACGCCACACACACAACACACCCCACACTAACACCCAACACCACACACACCCTCAATGCACACCCCACACGCTCCACACACTCACATCACACACCCCACATGTACAACCACACCACACACGCACACTGCAACACACCCCACGCACACACCACACACACCCCACAAGCACACCCAACACCACACACCCCACATGCTCCACACACTCACATCACACACCCCACATGCACTCCCCACTCACGGACACCACAACACACACCACACACCACACACCGCAACACACCCCACACGCACACACACCACACCCCACATGCATGCACACCACACACACTCATCACATACTACACACCCCACATGCACACCCAACACCACACACCCCGCACACTGCAACACCCCACACGCATGCTCGCACACCACACACTGCACAGGTCAAATAGACCTATATTCAGTCTGTCCAATGGTTGATGCAACACATTATCCCACCGGTCACAATTGTGACTGATCATAAAACTCACTTTTTCACACTCTTTTCCATGAAAATGTAAAAAAAAAATTATGATTGATTCTTTCAAAGGGATACTAATGACACATGATTTGGATATTTTTGTGTCTGGGAAAAAATGGGGAACAAATGGGTTTAAGATTTGTTCATTTATTGTCTTAATTGTGACTTTCATTGTTTTGAAATTGAACAGGTGTAGTGAATTGGAAAAGACTCTCAGAGAGACACTGTCAAATGTACAGACAGCCGTACACCATCTCTATTTGCAGTCGCCTACAATGCAGCCAGCTTTACAAAGACTGTGGGGCTGGCTACCGGGGAAATGGACAACGGGGAGTGCTTTTGGGCTTTTACTCCTCAGATGACAACCCTAGCTACTGTAGCTGGGATTGCTTTTTGGATGATGGAGGTCTTGAACAGTGAAGTGTGTGTGCGTGCAATGTGTCTTTCATGTAACAATTCAGGTCACTTTTTTTGTAATTCAGGTGTGTTGTCAATATATATATATATTTTTTAAACAATTCAATTAACTGGAAATTATTCTTCAGTATTTTACTGTGGTTGATTTGCACGTTATTTTGCTTTGAATACAAAATTCTAAATAATTACTTTTTTCATATTTGTATTTTTTTTTTTTTTACAGTATGGTCCCTTGCAGTTATTGTGTTGTAAAAATTTAAGATTATTAGATTTTTTTTTTTTACATAAAAACAATTAAAACTGAATTGGGGAAATTATTCTTCATTATTTAACATTTGTTGTTTTGTATGTTATTTACCATTAAATAGACAATTCTGAAATTATTTTTACTATAATATTATATTTAAAAGTCATAAACCGTAAAAGTTTAGTATACTGATGTAATACAAATGTAATAATACATTGAGTTTGAGAAAACTGAGTTTGGAGTGAATAATCTGATTTTAATGGGCAAATATTTCATACATAAATGTCGATTTCTTAAAATATCCCCTGTTTTTTATTCCTTTCTAAATGATATAATTCTGTATAAACAATCCCTGAAATGCTGTAAAACAAAAAATCCCTAATTTTTCATGAATACTTATGCAAACTTATTTCCTAGTGTCTACTGCTGAGTCTCTTGGTTTCTTTCTTTTTTATTTATGTATTTATTTATCTTTTACAATGTTGTACTCCATGTTCAATTCTTGTTGTAAGATTATCTGAAGACGGTTGTGATGTGCCTTGTATGTTTGATATAAGATTCAATTAAAAA